GTCTTTAAGAATGAACGATTTGAGGTAAAAGCATGTTCAAATAATTGTAATCAATTGAGAATTGTGGGACATTGATAGGAAGATATACAAATAATTTTTGATTTAAAGTGTATAATCTAATATGAACTATAAGTAATGACTGTGGAAGAAATGCACGAAAGTTATCTGTAACCAATCGAAATGCTTTCTACAAGATGTAATGAAGGATGATACTTTTTTTGTGTTTTTATTCAATTAAAATAAAAAAAACTGTTTTTAAAAAAGGCTTCTCGGCCATGTGTGGGTATCCTTAGAAAATAAAATCTTTGACCGTCCACCTATCTAGCCTGAAAAAAGACAAGGGAAGCTTCAATGATAGAGATCATCTGGGAGAGAAATGAAGTAGAGCAAGGAGGCCATCTTAATATCTTGTTTTCAGTTAAATGAGTGTTTTGCTTTTGGCCTTGATGAATGAGTAAATATTATTCATTGCAGCCATTTTGTGGGAATGTCCACAGCAGGTCCTCAAAATTTCCCAGGTGCTCCACTGGCTCAAAAGAAAATGCTACCTACCTGTGTTCTAAATTACCATACATAGGGACCTTCCATAATTACGAAAACTCCTTAGGAAAGAAATTAATTTTCAATGTATGAGGGACATGAGCCACAAGGCACTGGGAATGGGGTGGAGGTGGCCGTGAGACTAACAAACCCCATTCCATATTTTCCTCCGCATGCAGAGAGGAAGTGAATGTCTGAAAAAACCTGACCAGCATAGCAGAAGAATAATTGCCTAGGCATGCAGTTACCCTTACCCAAAAAGAAAAGTGGGGAAGGGGGAGGAAAGAGAAAGATGAGGAGGAAAAAATGTATCTGTTCCTGAAAGAATCTGTCTTTTCATTTTTTCCAAATATTACAACGCTGCAGAAGACCACTGAGGTTGCAAATAAACGAGTTTATGTTGCATACTGCTGTCAGTAATAAAATTAAATCACAAAGTTTTATATTTCAAGGAATTCACTGGCTTTGTTTCTACTAACACAGCAAGCTACTTTAGCTTTTTTTTAAAAAAGTTATATAGACAACTCCTCATATGCAGCCTGAGTCCTAACAGGCCTACAATATCATTTATTGCGGAACTGAATGCTGGTGGCCACATCAAAGCTTCCATGGCTATTTTCTCCTCCTCACAATAATCTGAAGTGCTCACAGATGGTTTCTAGAGCTGATGTCAGTGTTCAAAGACAGTTTCATGGGGTTCTATGACTTCCCATGGGCTTTTGATGAACTGCAGGTGCCAAAATAGCACTTATGGTGAATTTATTTGGAAAGGGAAGATGAGAAAACATTCCGAAAGCCTGGAAATTCTGTCCAATGAAATTGATATTTACACTAGACTAAAAGTTGGCTAAAAATAGTATGAAGTGTTTTATAGGATGTTGGTGATTTGTGGAATTTATGAAAGATTTATGAAAATAGGATTTTGTTGTAGGATAACACCAGTGGTGGGATTCAATTTTTTTTATTACTGGTTATATGGACGTGACTTGGTGGGCGTGGCAGGTGAAGGATATTGTAAAGTCTCCATTTACTCCTCATTCCAGGGGAAGGTTCAGTGGTGGGTTTCAAAATTTTTTAGAACCTCTTCTGTAGGTGTGGCCTGCTTTGTGGAGTAGCTTGCCAACCATATGACTGGGTGGGAGTGGCTTGATGGCCATGTGACTGGGTGAGAGTGGCTTGGCAGTCATGTGACTGCGTGGGCGTGGTCAATTTGTAAGATGTGATGAAACTCACTTAACGCTCTTGCTTAGCAATCAAAATGTTGGCTCAGAAACTCTGGCATTTGAAGCATGCCAGTCTTAAAGCTGTCAAGTTACAAGACCCTTGAACCCCTAACTCTTTAGAAAAAAAACCCCAGGGGTATTCAAACTTGACAGCTTTAAGACTTGTGGACTTCAACTCCCAGAATTCCTCCTTTCGCTCTTCATCTTGATGATGTTCGGACGGACAGGGGGAGGGAAGTGAAATAGGTTCTAAATTGCATGGTAGATTTGTGGAACCTCTTCTATAGAAGAGGTTAGAACTGGCAGGAACCCACCCCTGAAAAGGTTGCTGCAAAATCCCCATTTCCTCCTGATCACCTGGGACTCGGGAGGCAGAAAATAGAAGAGGGTG